AGGCCAGCGCAGAGCCCAGGTGAGTGCCCACCTCTGGGACCCTAGACCCCGGAACCCCCACGGCTCCACCCAGTGTCCGGGTCTCGCCGTCCCCACGCGTGAGCTCGTGGGTCCCGGACCTAGGGCCCCTGCGTTGGGGGCGGGGTGTCTGAAGCTTCGACCAAAGAGGTGGTGGACTGGAGCGCCCCTCTTCCTTATGCCCTCCTGTGCTGGTACTCCCTCCCGGCTTCCAGCAGAATCTTGCAGTGTGCCAGTACCCCCCTTCCTGGGCTGCAGGGTCTGGTGCCGGTACAGGAACACAGCCGGCAAGGCTGATGGAAACGCATTTCCAAAACGAGAGAACTGCACGTGCAAAAGCAGGGAGAGTGGACAGGTTGGCACCAGGGCTCCATGGGGAAGGGGCCAGAGCTGAGTCCCCCTTAACTTGAATGTGGGGTGAGGAGCTCAGATGCCATCCCCAGTGTGCCTGAAAGCCTTGAAGGCCCAAGCTGGGCAGCCTGCCCACACCCGGGAAAAGTGGGACCAGGAAGGGGAGATAGCAGAGGAGTGGGGACTGACCCTGCCAAAGGTCCAAGGAGGCTCCTACCCAGCCTTACACCCTCTGGGACTCTAGGAGCCCTGGGGGGCAAATAGGAGCACCTTTGTGAGGTAGGGATAATTCAGTACCTCCCTCAGGGGTTAATGGGAGTCCCTGAGACAAGACACAAAGTCCTGGTGGGTAGTTAGCTTTGGGCACTCTTGGAACTTCACAGCTGTGGGCAACTTGTAGATAAGAGACAACAGTCTTCAAAACTTTGGGGGTGCCTTCTGCCATGATCATAGCAAGGACCTTTGCTTTTGAGTGGGGTGACTCCAATCCAAGCTGGCTAGCACCCTGTATGTGGAAAGCCTACCTGAGAGCCTCAACTCCTGGAAAGGTGGGGAATAGCCTGAACAAGCCCACAGTAGCAAGACCAGGTCTGACCATTTCTGGGATTTATGGTCCAGCAAGTGAGTCCTGAGACCAGGCAGGAAGGAGTGGGCAGGGCTGAGGCACAGGTAAACCCAGAAGCAGGGGAAGGGTTCCCTGGTGCCCAGGGAGGGGGCAGGTGGGGCAGGTGGCAGCTGAGTTTTATGGACATGCCTTGGTGAAAAGTGGGGGAAAGAGCAAAGGTAACCTAGTGCCTTTGGATGCCTCCTCACCTGAAATGGATGTTTCAAGGGCAGGTAAGATCGGGCCAGGCAGTGGATGGGCCTTCCCCAACTTTGTCCTTCTTTCTTCCTGCTCTGCTTGCTCTCAGGCACCCACCCAAGGCCCTTCATGGAATCTGGACTAGATCAAGGGTACCTTAGCCCCACCTCAAATTAGACTTCAGGAAGAACTTCCAGGGAGGAAACAGAGGGGAATGGCAGTGGGGTGGACTGAGGAAAGGTCATTTGTAAATAAGACAGTTACACTTTGTCCTGGGCCCTCCAAAGTCCATCCATAAGCTGCATCTTCTAGAAGACCCACCTTATGCCTTGAGGACACCTTGGCTGTACTGATATTTCTGTTAACTAGGTGCCCCATCCCCCCAGCCCAGTGCCTTACAGGGCCTTAGAGTGATGGGGGTTCTCCTGAGGCCATGCTCTTCTTAGAACTAAGGCGGGGAAGGGGGTGGGAGGACACACAAATTCCCCTACCTTCTGCTTGACCTTGATGAGACCTTGGCTCCTCAGTTTCTTAGACTTCTGTTGGGCATGACCTCAGTGCCACTGGGCCAGGGGTGGGGGTGGGGGAACCTTTATGGCTGCTAGGCACGGGCTGTGGCAGGGCTGTGTGCCTGGCTTCTTTCTCCCCCAACCCTATTAGTCCCGGGCTGGCCGCCCGCTCTTGTTCACCACAGAGCTGGGTTTCCCTGGGGACCAGTGGACTGGCCTAGCCCCACACTCCCGCCACAGCCCCTCCTGGCCACAGCTCACACTGGGAGGAGGGGTAGAAACTGAGCCACCTCCTGGACCCTGCCCTGCCTTTCAGGGCCTAGCAGCCTCCGTCCACTGCTGGGCTGAGAGGAAGGAATTGTGTTTGCTTTTGGAGGAGGTAGCTGTCCAGAGACTGCCAGCCAGGGTGGAGGCTGAGGCCAGAGGGAACCCTGTGTCACTCCCATTTGAGGAAGAAGAAATCCAAGGACCAGGAAGGCTCTGATTGCTCAAGGTAACCCAAGGTTTGACTCAAGAATGGTGGCCTCCTGGGAAAATAGATGGTCTCAGAGCTTCCTCCAAGACTGTAGGATTTGGAAAAGGGAAGTAGAGAGCTAGGGGCCTGAGGAGTCAGCAGAAACCGGGGATGATTTTTGGATAAGGCAGCCACGGGACTGGACAGAGGATGGCCAACATTGGAACAGAAGGGGTCTCCTGACAGTGGGCATAAGCCATGTACAGTTGAGATGGGGGATGTGGGGTGCTGAGCCTCAACAGGCCTCAAAGGGGAGGAACCCTTCAGGATCCCCTACATGCAAGACTTAGCTCAAATATAGGACTCTCCCAGAAACCCCCACAGTCTGTGTCTCTCTGTCTCTCTCCTCCCATGAAAGCTTCATCCTAATATGGCCAGTCTCCCCTGCAGGTCCTAGAGGCAGTTCCAGCTGGCATGGCAACTCCAGCATCTCTAAGAGCAGCAGGAGACCCAGCCCCATGGGGGTCGCCCTAGACCTCCGACAGACCAACCATCTGTGGCCCTGCCTGCCTGCTGGTCCTTAGGTCACTCACCATGGGTGGCTGCTTCTCCAAGCCCAAGCCAGGTACCTCCTCCTCTCTTACTGCCTCCTCCCTCCCTCCTCCCTCCCTCCCTCTCTCTCTCTCTCTCTCTCTCTCTCTCTCTCTCTCTCTCTCTCTCTCTCTCTCTCTCTCTCTCTCTCCATTACCTTCCTCCCCCTCCCTTCTGCACTCTGCCTGCCTCCAAAGTAGGTCAGGCTAGGCAGGAGCCTCAGAATGTTAATGTGCTGAGATAGGAGGTGGGTAGGAGATCTGGAGAGGTTTTCCAGGTGCTCCCTCCAGTGATAGGCCCTCTTTTTGGGGGGGCTTTGAGTGCTGGTGGTGGGAAAAGCAGCTGGATCTTTGGGGGCTTTGAGTGCTGGTGGTGGAATAGCAGCTGGATCTTTGGAAGGGGAGGAAAGGATTTCTCCCGTTGCTGAGTTAGGAAAGGGGGGCTCTAGGAATGCCTTTGGCTACTGTATGACCTCTCTGAGCCTCAGTTTCCCTCTCTTTAAAATGATTCTACCCTCCCTGACCTCTTGAAGTTGCTGAGACGGTACAGTGGGCAGGTTCCTACCAAAGAATGTCCCTACCTCTTCTCAACCCCTCTGAAACTTAGGCTATCATCTGGACATGCTTTCCCATTTATACAAGAAATTTTTGCCCTGTCTAAATCAACCGGCTCTACCCAGTGTGCTAGGGGAATCCACATCTACTTTCCACTGGAGACCCTGTCTGTGGGGCTCTCCTTCAGGCCCCCAATTTCCTCTTTCTTCCTCATAACATCTCAGGAGGTAGGGCATGCAGATATGTCACAAATAGAGAAATTGAGGCCTCAAGAGTCCTCTAGAACTCAGACAATGCTGCACCCACATTTATGCAAGCCACCCTATCCTGGGCAACTTGCCCCTGCCAGCTCACCCCAGCTCCCTTTACCTGATACCCATCAGCTCCATTACCTTGGAACTTGTGAGCCTTTTCTTCTTTTCCTGGGTTCAAGGGAGAAGTTGAGGTGGGGAGGAGAGATGTTTATGCCCTACCAGGCAGGGGGACCCACCCACACCTGTCCCAAAAACCACACTCCCCCTTTGCGCTGCTGTCCTGTGAACAGCCAGATCTGGGCCAGGTCCCACCATCTTCTTGTTTGGAAATATAGCTTAGGAAAATGACATCCACTGTCTTTACCTCAGCCTTCTCCCAATAGAAACAGACAGAAGGATGCTAGCTGGCCCCAAACTGTGCGCCTGTGGGATTGCTGGGCTGGCAGGAGGTCCTGGGCAAAAGATGTCACCTATAAGTTCTTTCAAAGGACCCCCAAAGGGCTGGCCTGCCTGAGTCCCCTCACCCTAGTATTTTCAACATGGGGTCTAGACATAAGAACTTGGGCTCTTGAGCCTCAATTCGGCCGTACGGCTTCCAGGCTGTGTGGCTTTGGGCAGGTGATCATACCTCTCTGATCTACTTTTTTCTCATGTGTAAAGTGAGGTTGTGCTTAGCACAGGACCTTGCACTCAGGAAGCACTTTTAAAATAGTATTGGCCCTTTTTCTCTGAGCTGGATTTCCTGCTGCCAGGATTCCCCTGTGGAGGCACAGTCCCCAGGTACTTAAGCTAGACAGGTCAGGTGTGAGGCCTAGGGAATTTCAGGGTGTAGGAATGAGAGTTCAGCTGGGGTGAGCAGGGACAATAGAAAGACCCTGGTTCTGTGCGTGAGCAGATCCCCCCACCTACCCTTATATTGCTGCTCCTGACTTCCCGTTAGACTTGCATCAGTGAGTGTGCCTTGGAGCCTTCTGGCAGGAGGTGGAAGATGAAAACTGACTGGCTTGGCTGTTATCTGGCACTCCTGCCAGGCTGTTCCTGTGGACTCCCACAGCTGTCATAGCTGATGTCAGCTGAGTCTGAAGTATTTTTCTTTTTAATTCTTCCAAAAACATTCTAACACCATTATATAAAGTGTGGAAAATGGGAGGAAACTCCCCACTGGACAGGACGACCTTGTGTGGTTATGTGCTCATACACTCTTCCTACCAGTCCCAGTCATGAACTGACCTTTGCCACTATCCCCTGCCTCGCCTAGGGGGATGGGACATGCAGATGAAGGGCAGGAGGTCTAGACAGAGTGGGGAATTAGCTCAGAATGAAAGGGGGGCCTTGCAGGAGCTGGGCTGCCATGGGAGGCAGCACCAGAGCTGTGTCTGGGTATGGGGGTAGGAGTTAGCCAAGGCTTAGAAGAATGGCAGCCCAGGCCAAGCAAATGGTGCAGGCAAAGGCCAGGGTATGTGACTCAGCATCCACCCTGGGTTCTTGGGTCTTTTTTGTTTTGGGGAGTGTCAGGTCTGAAGTAGAAGGGAACAGAGGTCTGGAGGCTCTGGTTCCTTGAGAGAGGCACCTCCTGCTCATGCTGTGCCAGAGGCTTAGTTTCCTCCCTGCAGCAGCAGCCCAGGAGGCCGGATTATCACTGCTAAAAATTCTGTTTATTGTTCCCTTCTAATTAGAAAAATACCCCAGGCATGTCATAGGGAATTTGGAAAATGTGGGAAAGTATAAAGAAGAAAGTGACAGTCTTTGGCTACCTCCTAAAGTAGGCCACGTGGGTATACTGAGAAAATGTCTTCTGTGTGGAGGCCATGGAAGGGGGCCCTCTGTGCCTTCTGCACTGTTCAGACCTGTCTACATGTACCTTTACCTCATGGAATTCATTCACTCCCAGGGCCCCAGACCCGTACATAAAGACACCGAAACCCAAGACTTGGGAAATGATGAATGAATCTCAAACTGGTGAGAATAATTATTTTAAGAAGTTGAAGCCAGGCACAGTGGCACACACTTGTAATCCCAACAGTTTGGGGGACTGAGGCAGGAGGATTGCAAGTTCAAGGCCAGCCTCAGCAACTAAGTGAGGCTCTAAGCAACTTGATGAGATTCTGTTTCAAAATTTTAAAAAATTTAAAAAAGGGTTGAGTGATATAGCTTAGTGATAAAGTGCCCTGCTTTAATCCCCAATACAAAAAAAAAATGTTGGAATTTGTGTGTGTGTGTGTGTGTGTGTGTGTGTGTTTGTGTGTTGGTGGTGATACTAGGAATTAAACCTAGAGCTTTCCATACTCTAAGCAAGCATTCTATCACTGAGCTAAATCCTCAGCTCTGTCCATATTTTTTTAATTTTGAAAAAACCGTTTAAATCTATGGTAAATTTATAAGAATAATACAATGAATCCTTAATTTCTAATCATCCAGATTCACTGTGAAATGAGCTGTACCCAGTTTGGGACCTCATATTTGTATGTACATGAATCATCCCCTAAATGTGTCCCTGAGCTGCTAGGGACATTGTTGTCCATCAGAACACGTATGACACAAGACATCAAGGTTCTTTCCTCCAGAGATCCTGGAGGGGAGGTTTAGGGTTGGAAGAAACTCTGTTCTGTGACCCTCTCATTAATTTTGACATCAAAAAAGAAAATGTGCAGAACTGCTCAGTGATATAGCATTTACGTAGATGCACAAGTTCCTGAGTTTGATCACCAGCACTGGATAAAAAGAATAAAAAATAAAGAAAGAAAAGAAAAATGCAGAAATGAATTCAAGCTGACCAAGAAATCCCCTTCTTATGCCCTTCCTCCTCTGTCTCTTTGCTGGGGTACACAAGGCTTTCTGGAGAAATTGAGGGGAAGGGCTGAGCCTCCTGAAACTCAGAAGGGCTGGCCTCTGTCCCCAGATTTTGGGGTGGGCAAGAAGATGGGGTAGGCTGAGGGGCTCATGATATGGCCCTGCCCACAGTGGAACTCAAGATTGAGGTGGTGCTGCCTGAGAAGGAGCGGAGCAAGGAGGAACTGTCGGCTAGCGGAAAGGGCAGCCCCCGGGCCTACCAGGGCAATGGCACAGCCCGTCACTTCCACACTGAGGAGCGCCTGCCAGCTCCCCACCCCTACCCTGGCCCTCAGGACTGCGTGGAGGCTGCCGTCTGCCATGTCAAGGACCTGGAGAATGGCCAGTGGGTGCTGGGCCTGGGAGGAGGGATCAGAAGGTCCAAGGTGGGAGGGCAAGGGAGAGGCCATGGATGAGGAGAACTAAGGTAAGGGGATTTGGAAGGGCCTATGACCTGCTTCTGCCCTAGTCATGGTCCTTGGGCTTCTGATGTTCTGGGCCTGCTACCCATGAGGCTGGACACTAAGAAGAGGTGCCCCCAGGAGGAGGTGCCTGTTGTCTGTCCTGACCTCTGAGTGCAGCCTTTCCCCAGGATGCGGGAAGTGGAGCTGGGCTGGGGGAAGGTGTTGCTGGTGAAAGACAACGGAGAATTCCATGCCTTGGGCCACAAGTGCCCACACTATGGCGCACCCCTGGTGAAAGGTGAGAAGTCCAGGGGTGCATATGGGAGGGGGGGTAGGACCTTCCTATAGGGGGCTTGGCTACTGCACCATCGATGCCTCTGCTCTACCAGCCCCCGGGTCAATTTGACTCTTCCCTAGGCCCTGGGTCCTCATCTATTAGTGAGGTCTCCTGGGCTATGAAGTGGACCAGAAGGTGCAAGGATCCTTGGAAAAGAGCCCCCAATAGTAGCTCCAACCTAGTACCACACTGTTCCAGGAGTGTTATCCCGTGGCCGGGTGCGCTGCCCCTGGCATGGTGCCTGCTTCAACATCAATACTGGGGACCTAGAGGACTTCCCAGGCCTGGATAGTCTGCACAAGTTCCAGGTGGGGCTGGGAGTGTGGTATAGTGGGAGCCTGGGAGCACAGAGTTGAGGGCTTGAAGCACTCCAAAGTCTGATCCTGAGCAGTACTGCCCTTGCAGGTGAAGATTGAGAAGGAGAAAGTGTATGTCCGGGCCAGCAAGCAGGTGAGGAGTGGCTCATGGCTCAGAGGTGAGGAGGGCATCTTGACTCAGAGAATAGCTTGTTCAAAGGCCCTGCAGTGGGAGAAAGCCTGGCATGTGTGACTACGAGCAGAGTGAAAGGCTGCATGATGGGGAGTGGCTGGGCTAGAGTAGCAGAACCTGATCTGCTGAGATAACCCCAAATGTACCCCACCCCCAGGCCCTGCAGCTGCAGCGAAGGACCAAGGTGATGGCCAAGTGTATCTCTCCAAGTGCTGGGCACAGTGGCAGCACCAATGTGCTCATTGTGGGTGCAGGTTAGTATTGAGGTCATGATAAGGAGGGTGGAGGTGGATGGTAGGAGGTAAGTTGTCTGTTGGCTATGGCCTCCTCCCTTCAGGTGCTGCTGGCCTGGTGTGTGCAGAGACACTGCGGCAGGAGGGCTTCTCGGACCGGATCGTCCTGTGCACGCTGGACCGGCATCTCCCTTATGACCGGCCAAAACTCAGCAAGGTGTGTCTTTAGGGCAAACAGTAACAAGGCACAGGACAGTCAGTACAACGCAGGGCCTGAATCCTTAATCCTCTGGGTCCCCTGTCCAGCCCACTTGGAGCCTTGCTTGTCACCTCTTCAGAGTCTGGCCAGCTGCCAACTACACTCAAATCTGGCTTACCTGTGGTGCCCCCAAAAGATCTCAGTTTGTTGAGTTTTATCCTACAGCCCACTTGTAACTCAGGGCTGGCCTCACCCTTCCTGGGGTCCATGTCCTTTGGTATAAAATGGAACAATGGTAGCTTGACACTGTCTCATATTGGCTGTGTCCTGCAGTCCCTGGATGCACAACCTGAACAGCTGGCCCTGAGGCCCAAGGAGTTCTTCCGTGCCTATGGCATCGAGGTGCTCACTGAGGCTCAGGTACAAGATTGAGGATGGTAAACTGGCAGAGAATGGGTTAGTGGGAACCATGAAGAGCATTGGGCCATATGGATCCCTGGGAGTGTTCTACCCTTCCAGTTTCACTGCCCAGGCCTGGGGAGCAGCACCAGACCGTCTTACTAGCAAGATCATGAGCACACACAGGGCCTAGGGAGAGAGAAGATCTCATTCCATCAGGGATGGGAGAGTCTGGTAGGACTTGGGAATATGTAGAGGGCTTTGAGAAGAAGGTGATGTTTTAAGCTTGAAAACTGAATCCTAGGCAGTGTGGGAAGAGACCTCACTGGACATGCTTAGATCTGGCTGGGATCTGGGCATGTTGCAGGATCCAAAAGTGGATGACAAGACACAGGTCCATACCCAGGCCAGCACTTTACCTGTCGGGGGTTGCAGGTGGTCACAGTGGATGTGAGAAACAAGAAGGTCGTGTTCAAGGACGGCTTCAAGCTGGAGTATAACAAGCTGTTGTTGGCGCCAGGGAGCAGGTGGGAGGGTGTCTTTATTGCCCTCCTTCTTCACTGGGTGGGGCACCAGCCACAATGGGAGGGTCTCACTGAGGCTGCCATATCTCAGCCCTAAGACCCTGAGCTGCAAAGGCAAAGAGGTAGAGAACGTGTTCACTATCCGGACGCCTGAGGATGCCAATCGTGTGGTGAGGCTGGCCCGGGGCCGCAATGCAATTGTCGTAGGAGCTGGTTTTTTGGGTGAGAAGCTGGGGGTGGCAGGGTGGTGGGCAGGCTTTCATAACCAGTCCCTGGGCATGCTGGATCTAGGAGGTGCAGGGTACAAGATCTGCCAGCCCCTGCCCATCATCTCAGGTATGGAGGTGGCTGCCTATCTAACTGAGAAGGCCCATTCTGTATCTGTGGTGGAGCTTGAGGAAACACCCTTCAGGAGGTTCCTGGGGGAGCGCGTTGGCCGTGCACTGATGAAGGTAAGCCTACCCCAATCCCTTGTCCCTTGATATCCTGAGTGTCTAGTCTAGCCCCTTACCAGGCTCTCATCCATTGCCCACCTGCCCTGACAGATGTTTGAGAACAATGGGGTGAAGTTCTATATGCAGACAGAGGTGTTGGAGCTGCGGGCCCAGGAGGGAAAGGTGGGCCTTTCTCCTCTCTTTGCTGCTTTCTGTCTTCTCTCCCTGAGCCCAGTAGCTGGTCCTATCTGCTCACCCACCCACCCACTCCCTACAGCTGAAGGAGGTTGTACTGAAGAGCAGCAAGGTCATTCGTGCTGATGTCTGCGTGGTGGGCATTGGTGAGTGGATGGGCAGGTGGGCATGAATGATCAAAGCCACCTGCACAAGTTCACAGATGACCTTGAGTTAGCCCCTTCTCCTCCCTGAGCCTTAGTTTCCACATCTTTAAAATGGTGACCCCCAACAGTACCCACTTTCTAGGGCCATTGAAAAATCACACATACCTGGCTTAGCCCAGGTCCTGCATGGAGCATGTGCTCAATGACTGCTGCAGACTAATAATCAACTCCATACCCTGCTCTGTGTTGGATGAAGATCACAAACTTACTGTTCCTACTCCACCAGAAGTGGCAATTTGGAGAAGTGCAATGCTGGGAAGTAGTAGCACAGGAGTTGGAGAAGCATGGCCTCCTGACCCCTCCAGGGGGCTTCAAGGAGTGCTTCTTGCAGGAGGCAATACTTGAGGCCTGATGGGAGGCACAGGTGTCTGTGGAGTGCAGGCAAAGGGGACAGTATGCATGAAGCCCCATGGTGGGAAGCCTGTGGATGTGATATCTGGGGTAAATACAGCAGGTGAAGGGTGTGGAACACAGAGAGCAGTGAGGCCAAAGAAGGGTGGAACCAGAGTGTGGACATGGCAGCCTCTGTCCTGCTAGGTGCGGTGCCTGCCACGGGTTTCCTGAGGCAAAGTGGCATTGGTCTGGATTCCCGAGGCTTCATCCCTGTCAACAAGGTGGGGCTGGGTGGGGTGGGAAGGGTGCTGGGCTGGGGGTGGCCAGAGGTATAGGTCAGGCCCCTGTCCTATCCATGAAGCTCTGGCTCTCTCCTCACAGATGATGCAGACCAATGTCCCAGGTGTGTTTGCAGCTGGTGATGTTGTCACCTTTCCTCTTGCCTGGAGGAACAATCGGAAAGTGAACATCCCACACTGGCAAATGGCTCATGCCCAGGGTATGGCTAGCCCTGAGGCAAGTTGGGGGGCTATCCTAGGGTTTCAGCCTCCCCCAGGATCATGCCTCAGTTGGTCTCCTTTCCTGGATCCTATGTTATGCATTCAAGGCTCTCTAGTGGCCTCACAGCTGGCCTCATCCAGGTGATCAAACCAGTTTACACAGCAAGCTCTGTGGCTCATCTCCAGAGACTCTCTTTCAGAATCATCTGGATGTACCATTTAGCCAGGGTCAACCTCCCATCCTAGTTTTCCTTCCACTAGTCTCCTTTCCTTTTGTCTTCAAGGATACATCCCACAGAATTTCTGACTTACCTGTACAGTCATGTCTCTCCTCTGAGGGAGAGAAGGATTTAGTAGGCCAGCCTCCCAGTCAGTGCTTCTATCTCCCTTGGACTAATCAACCAACTCTATAAACTCAGTTGTCTTCTGCAGGCCCCATCTAGTCCAGGCTCAGTGGGCACACTGTTTCTGTGGAATAGCTTTCCCTTCCTCACAACACTAACCATTAATTCCCCAGACCTCACCCACTGCACATACCTGGTCTGGGCCCCAAAGCTAGAGGGGCCAGTAAATTAACCAACTGAGTACCTCAGAGAGGAACTCCAGACTCCCAGCCTATGATGGGTACTAGCTCCTGCACCCAACTTCCCTTTTCTCTGTGTTTGCCATTATCTGAAGGTCTGAAACCCCACTCCTAGAACTGATTTCTATTCAAGTTTTCAAGGTCTAAAGTGGCTGCTACGTTGTAAAGAAACAGCCAAATATAATTAGAATTCAGGATTTAATTGGGAGGGTCCAGAGTATTCTGATGTATGTCCAGCTTTGGGTCCAATGGGGGCATATAGAAACTGGGAAGTCACCCCTGCTATTCTCTTGGGGTCCTGCCTGTGACTGTCATTTCTGCTTCCCTGGCTCTTGTGCTCCCTTCTCCTCCCTCTTCGGTCCTAATGTGTCTGATTAAGTTGTCTATGTGCATAAGTGAAATGGTGAATCAGCCCACAATCCCATGAGCAGACCTTCCAGAGAGGCAGGGCATGTCTGTCATTCAAGTTTTCCAGAGAAGCAACCTAGTAACTAGCTTGGAGCCAGGTGTCTCCTTGGTACCTCAGGAGGGCCACCACCTGTGTAACAATGTACTTCTTGATCTCTAGGGGATCCAGGAATAGCAGCTATGCCTGATAGGGGTCCCTAGAGTGCTGGGGCAGGCGATGTCAGGATGGTGAGGGCAAGGGTCATGGTTCACATGGCCATGGGTTCTGCAGGGCGGGTGGCAGCCCAGAACATGCTGGCTCAGGAGGCGGAGATCAGCACGGTGCCCTACCTGTGGACTGCCATGTTCGGCAAGAGTCTGCGTTATACGGGTAACAAGATCCTCGGATGGGGTGGGGACTGAACTGTTTTAGGGGTGGGACCATGATGGCTCTGGGAAGAAGCAATTAGGAACTCTCTGGGGGAAGGCCTAGGGACTACCTAAAAGAAGTAAACAATCGGGGAGGATGTCCTGAGAGGAGTTAAGAAGGCACAGGGTGGGGAATTTGTGAAGTCCATCTCTTTCCCTGGCTTATGTGGCATCACCTACCTGTTCGGCCCTACAGGCTACGGAGAAGGCTTTGACGACGTCATCATCCAAGGGGATCTAGAGGAGCTGAAGTTTGTGGCTTTTTATACCAAGTGAGAACAACTGGGTGCAATGGGGGTACAGAGCTGCTCGTTTGGGAATGGATAGTCATCCCAGAAAAGTGCTCCTGAGGAGGGGGCTTAGCTAAAAAGGTGGAATAAGTGGCAAAGGGAGGCAGACAGCTGGACAGGAGGCACTGCAGAGGAAAGGTGAGGAAGAGATTACTAATAGCTGACTTTGTTGTGCATTGGGCCAGATGATTTATCTTCAAAACAGCTCTTTGAGGTGGGTGTTGACAGCCCACTTACAACAAGAAAAGCCACACAAAGAATGGTAGTGTCAGAACAGGACACTAGTCCTGAGCCCTGCTGAGGATTGGAGTTTCCCTAGGGAAATCTGATGCCTGTGCTGGGACAAACAGGGAGGGATAGGAGCTCAGGAAATTCCTGTGACCCCAGGAAAGATCCCTCTCTGGGTCTCAGTGATGAAGAGTGTCTTCAAGAAGGAAGGCTTTTGCCAAGCAGCACTTAGGCTTAGCCACCCTCTCTCTGCAGAGGTGATGAGGTGATCGCTGTGGCCAGCATGAACTATGATCCCATCGTATCCAAGGTGGCTGAGGTGCTGGGCTCTGGTCGTGCCATCCGGAAGCGGGAGGTGGAGTGAGTGTGGGCTTGGGAGGTCTTGGGGTGAAGGAAGGGAAGCCCTGAAGGATTGGCTTAAGCTGTCATGGCAGCCAATGTCTCCTAAGTTATCCAGGACCCTCACTCTTGCTCCCCATTTGTCTGAGGTTTCCAGGGCTAAGAGGGCAGAGATTATACTTTGAGAGAAAGCTGGTGTACTCAGAGGGGAGAGATGGGAAAGGGGTGTGTGTCCCAGGGCATCACCACTGCTGCAGGGAGAGTCAAGGTCCACTGCCTGCATCCAAGTACCTCTCCAGCCCTGGTATCCCTCACTGAATGTGGTTTTTCTTACTTTAGTAGAAACACAGCTAGTGATGCCCTTGGGTATACCCTGTATAGAGATATGGGGTGGTTATGTGGGGCCTGGGAGGCACTGGACGCCAGCCATTAACCTCATTCCAATATGGTTCCAGTGAGAGTCCTCTGTGTACAGAGAGCTCCTAGGGACTGGGGAAAGCCTGCAGGCCACTAGGGGGCTGGAGGTTATGGGTCATGCTAGGCCTTAGTCCGGAAATAATGGAGGACCAAGAACAGACATGACGAATGACATACTCTTTCCCTGGCCTTCTCTGTTTTTCCCTCTTGGCTTCACAAAGGCTGTTCATGCTGCACAGCAAGTATGTGTGTCCTCTGTCCTTATTATTAACCATTCTGAACCTTTCCCACTTCAGCCCCAGAGCCTCTACTCAATGATCTACTCCTCTCTGTCCAAGTACATTTCCCTGCTGGGCACCAAGGACAGAGCAGACCACTCTCTATTCTCAAGAGTCAGCTGCTAATGGTGCCCAGAGCAGGGAAACTGCCTTCTTCTTTCCTTATCCTATCTCTCCTCATTCCTGCAGGACTGGCGACATGTCTTGGCTCACAGGGAAAGGATCCTGAGTTCGAGTGTAGTGGACTTGGGCAGGCATGCTGGGGTACAAGGAACAAAGGCTAAGCCTTGGGGGCAGGTGCCAATCTCCAGTTTCCCAGCATCCCGCAGGGCAGAATTTGAGCCCTCCCAATGCTTGCCTTTGGCTGCCTGGATCCCTTCCAGGATGGCCTCTGCTGCCTCCAGAAGATGCTCACCCATCAGGGCCTCAGCTGCCACTGACATCTGGCACTGGAGGTGGGACAGGCCCTGTCTCTTTTCCCTCTGTTGGGACTGGTCCCCTGGAGGACCCTGCAACATGTTAGACATTATCTTAAAATTAAAATGCACACATTTGCAGATCTGTGTGATTCCAGTGTAATTGGGCCAACACAAGGACAAAAGCAGACGACATGATAAACAGGTTCACCAAGGAAGTTAAGCTTGTGAGCACCCTAAGGAGATAGCAACTGATGCTCTTCTTTCCACAAGGTCAGGGAAAGTATCTCCAACAAGTCCTTTGGATCTTAATTTGAAAAGAAGAGCATTTAAGTAAAAAGGGACAGCATGTGCAAAGGACTTGGGATAGAACATACATGTTTCTTCAGAGGTCAGCTGCAGCTCATGCCTAAAACTTTGGGGGCTCTAGGAGCTGGGTCCTAAGACAGATACCATGCTTTTCATAGCACTTGGAGCTTTCTGAATCCTCATTTAGCAGGTGAAGAAGCAAAGGGTCTGCTATTAAGTGGAATAAGAAGTCTGAGGCGCTGAGCTAGACTTGCTTCCCAAAGGGGAGATAAGGCGGCCGGGGGCTGGGGGCGGAGGAAGGCGGGGCGGGTGGAGGCTGGTCTCGAAGAGCAAGCAGGAAGAGAACAAACAGCTCGGCCGCCAGCGACCTGGAACCTTCCATCTAGGATCCCAGAAGCTGCAGACGATCTAAGCAGGAGCCACGCGTAGGCGCAGGGCATGCCGGGAACTTCGAGTCCGCCGCCGTTTAAGATTAACCGGCGGGGTGGGCCTGGAAGCGCCGGGAAGTGCCGTCCTGACAGATTGGGGTGGGGCCACCGCATTTACCGGAAGGGGAAACCTGGGCCCTGTATTTCGCCAGAAGTGCTTTCCGCAGTGTTACACGCTCCCGGCAAGGTCGGCCACCAGATTCCACACTTACCCCAGCTGTCATGAGGAGTGCTAGACTCGTCGGGAAGTGTGGGTTGCCTTAATCGTGACGCTAGCCGGAAGTGCGGCGCCGTTGGCGCAGGGCTCGCTGGGAAATGTGGTCCCTTCTGGCGGACCGGGGCGGTGGCCGCAAGACCTGCAGACAGGGTGGCCAATCCGGCGTGCACCCGGGATGTCTGGGCCGGGTGGCTCCGGGGGCCCGATCGGGGCCGGGGCCTTGGCAGGTGGGGCGCGCTCCAAGGTAGCTCCGAGTGTCGACTTTGACCACAGCTGCTCAGACAGTGTCGAATACCTGACGCTCAACTTCGGGCCCTTCGAAACAGTTCATCGGTGGCGGCGCCTCCCGCCCTGCGACGAGTTCGTGGGTGCCCGGTACGGCGGGATTCTGAAAGCACTAGGAGTGAGGAGGTCCCAGGATGGGGCCTCGGGGCGAGGCTCGGGCGTCAAGTCCTGGAGTAGAATCTGATAGTGGGTCGGGTGGTGTCCAGGGCAGAGAAAGGTCTTTCTAGGTAAATCCAGAGTTGGATGACTCTTATTTCTCTATAGTAGGGGTCCCACTAACTTTGTGGTGGGGTGAGAAGTCTAGAAAATCCTCTGATGGTGTCGAGCATCCCCATGTACAGGGTCCTTTGGGGTTGTGGTGGAATGTAGGTCTCTGTAGTTCTTGGCAGTTGAGAGAGATTTTCTAACTTCTGTGGCAGTACCACATGTAGTCCCATTCCTTGGGTGCCACCCACTAGTGTCCTGGCTTTACCACCATCCACCTCTTTTTTCTTTCTAGGCGCAGCAAGCACACAGTGGTGGCCTATAAAGATGCCATCTATGTATTTGGTGGTGACAACGGGTGAGTCTAAGTATCAGGTGTTTGGACCAGGTAGGGAGAAGAGTGTGGTCTCAGATTGGACCTGTGGAGCTCCACTGCTATCTTTCCAGACATTAGCTAAGTACTGTAAGCTTTGGTTTACCCTCTTTGGGGTTACCTGCATTTACGTTGCAGATTGTAGTGAGAATTAAATGAGATCCTGCCCTCAAGTCCTCCTCACAGCATTTGGTGGGTAGCACATGCTCAGTCCCTCTTGTTTTGAGTGAGTAGATGTAGCTTTTTTTTTTTTTCCTACTTTTATTTTATTTATTTATTTTTATGTGGTGCTGAGGATCAACCCAGCGTTTCACTCATGCGAGGGGAGCACTCAGCTGCGGAGCCACACCACAGCCCCAGATGTAGCTTTTTTTTAAATATATATATTTTTAGTTGTTGATGGACCTTTATTTTATTTATTTATATGCAGTGCTGAGAATCAAACCCAGTTCCCCACACTAGGTTGATTCTCAGCATGCTAGGCAAGCACTCTACCACTGAGTCACAACCCCAGCCCTAGATGTTGCTTTGAAAAACACATATGTACCCTTGCTGCCAGCCTTGCCAGTCACTTTTTTCTTTCCCCAGACTTCCCTCTGGGCTTTATCCACATGCTTACTCTGCAGCCAAAAAGTATGGAGCAGTTTTATTTATTTTGTACATCTTCCACTTTTTTGTGAATGTTTTCCTGTATTGCATAGACTCCTAGCAAATAACTTGATAATGATCTAATGTTCAGTTGGTGGGCACATCTCCATTCACATGAACTGCCACCAGTTAAATTGTAGTTAGTTTCTCTGTGCTGAGGGTAGAGTGTCTATACATTATCCATCCTGCTCATGAGTCCTAGTTCTGCCTCTCAGCCTCAGAACCTGGCCTGAAGCCCAGAAAGGGCATTGTTGGGGTTGGGGATTTACTCAGTGGCAGAGCGCTTGTCTAGCATGTGCAAGGCCCTGGGTTCGGTCCTCAGCCCTGGAAAAAAGAAAAAAAAAAAAAAGCCAGAAAGGGCATTGCAGCCTTAGTCCTGTAGGACTCCTTGGGGGCGCTGACCTGAGGTTGGAGGGGTAATTTGCAATCATATCATGACCTGCACACTAGACAGAAGGGCCTCCTTGGCCATGATCCCCTGGTATCCAACCTGTTTCTGCTAGTCTCTTTTCCCAAGGGCAGTCAGGGGGATCTATTTACAAATACAAGTCAAAGTATATTCCTCCTCACCTCATAACCTTGTGACATCTCTCTACCTCTCTGAATAGAAGCCCAAGTTCTCATGACAGTCTGTGATACCTATACACTTGTGCCTCCCACTGTTCCTCTGCCTATTCCTTTGCTGCACAGGGCCATGCTGGCTGCCTTGCTACCTTTAGATTGTTCCCAGTATGCTCCTACAATAGGTCTTTACATTGGCCATTCCCTCCTTTTCACACTTCCTGCCTCTCTTCTGATCCTCCCTTTGAGTAAGGCCTTTCTTCACTTCCTTTACCTTTTGCCACCTCCATTTGTCCCTGAAGCACACAGATGTTGGATATAATCTGTGTCCTCTGCTATGTCAAGGCCTGTGTTCCTTTCATCCCAGTATCTTAGCACCTAGATAACTCAATAAATGTCAAAAAGTGGGATGAAATAAGAAAGTGGCATCTACTCAGAGATAGTTATTGGAGCCTTAACAAGAATCTTCCAAACCAAAAAAGGCCTTGATGTCAAGCACAGGGTAGTAGGTGGGAAATGGGGAACCTCTGTCCTCAGGAGTATTCTGTAGCAGGTAGTTGTGTAATAACTATGGAGCAATAAGTAGAATAGTCTTTGCTATGATGTGTCAAAAGATAAAATCACCACAGGGCTGGGATTGTGGCTCAGCGGTAGAGTTCTTGCCTAGCATGTATGAGGCACTGGGTTCAATTCTCAGCACCGAATATATATAAGTAATGGTTCATCAACAACTAAAAAAAAAAAATTTAAATAATATAAAATTACAACTATTTAATTATAGAGCTCTTTGGCTTTTATTTTTGATTCATGAATTGAGGCAGCCTCCATTCTACAGATTAGAATGAGAGTTCTCACTAGACAAGAGCAACCCAATGGGTCTTTTAAGGTGGGAACAAGGAAACCGAACAAAAAGCTGATTGGTTAACATTAGGTTACTTCAGGTTATGGTTTTTATAAGGGTTAAAGCAGAGGGGATTTCCTTATTACACTAAAGGAGGTAGACTGGAATTGATTGTTTTTAGGAAAAACTGATCTGTATTGGGATCTCTCTGCTTCTTTAAAGTTCCAGTTTATGAAGCATTTGGCATGAATACCTTCTATTTTGGTTTGATTTCTAGCTTCCCATAATTTTTTTTTTTTTTGTGCTGCTGGGGGTTGAACCCAGGGCCTTGTGCATGCAAGGCAAGCACTCTACCAACTTACTATATCCCCAGCCCAGTTTATTCTTTTTTTTTTTTTTCTCCCATATTTTTGTTCAACAAAGGAGACACTAAGAAACAGGTTACAAGGTGTTGTGATATACAAAGCATGATGGTGCATGCCTATAATCGTAGTGATGACTCTGGAAGCTGAAATGAGAGGATTGAAAGTTTGAGGCCAGCCTCAGCAATTTAACAAAATGTTGTTTCAAAATAAAAATTAAAAAAAAAAAAAAGAGAAGGAAACAGGAAATTTATCTTCCTTAGGTTGCAACTCTGTAGCCTGTCAGTAGACTGTTAGATCAATGAGATCAAAGAAAGATGGCCTCTTCCTGGGGCAGGATTGGGGATGGGGTGGGGAAAAAAGGAGGATGGGGAGGAATTAGCTATAACATTAACTTGTTAGCTCCTGAATTCCTGGCTGTATGGCCTTAGACACAACCTTTTTTTTTTTTTAAATTTTTTTTTAGTTGTAGTTGGCACAATGCCTTTATTTTATTTATTTTTATGAAGTGCTGAGGATCGAACCCAGCGCTTTTCCACTGAGCCATAACCCCAGCCCCCAGGCTCAACCTTTTATCTCCCAGGCTGTTTGTTCTTCTTTAAAATGGAGTTTGGAGGGCACCCACCTAGTATAGATGGAATGAGTCCGCAGGGGGCACCTGGCATAAGCCCCACCTAAAGCTGGTGCTGGACTCCTGTTGCTTTGCAGCACTGTAAGATGGTACAATGGCCAGTGAATTTGTTTCCCATTTTATTGTATATTTAATGTAATTGTTATATTGGTTTTGCAATTAATAAGAGATGTTAGAAAGATCAGAGAGAGGCAGAGAAGCATCTCATTGTGGTAGTGCAGCATCTGAGGGAAGGGGGTTAAGGCAAGTGAGTGGGGATTCTTGAAGCTGGGGTGAATGAGTCTGGCCTTTGGACTATTTTACATCCTCATGGCAGCCCCTGAGTAGGCTCCTAGTGGCTGGGATCATGCTTTGGTTCTGACTCCATGTGGGTTAACCTTGCCTGTGTGGCAACCCTGGTTCCCATATCAACTGGGAAGCCTTCTTGGTAGTCTTCACTCTTGTCCCTCAGGCATCAGTTGGTTGTCTTACCCTGGCCAGGTCCAGAGGTAAGTGAGCCACCCCAAAATGGCCCTTTCTGTTATCCCTTGCAAGGTCTACATGCAATACCCATCTCTAGAGTCCTGGTAGGGCAATGCCCCACAAAACACACCTGGCTAATGCCACCCTCTCTCTGGCTGCCTTTTAGGAAGACGATGCTCAATGACCTCCTGCGTTTCGATGTGAAGGACTGCTCCTGGTGCAGGTGGGCAGCCTTCCATGCTCTAAGACTCTGTCTTTCCTTCTGTGCTGTGCTGGGACTGGTTGCTGGCAGAATCAGCTGATCCTGGAGAATCAGAGGAAGGATCAAGGAGGAAAGAACCAGAGCCCCTGGGCCTTTGGGATGCCACAACCAGAATCTCTGAGTATTTTCCTGCATTTCTTGGGTTTCTGTTCTAACTACCACAGTGATTGATTATTCTGTGATTGAAACTAAGGGGTCTATTTGATCTGTTTGTGAGTCCCCAAATTCTGCTGCAGGAGAGCCCCTCAGTTACCAGAACTTCTCCTGGGCCAGGGATTCCTGTGAGATCTGACTTGAGGCAGGGGAGGGTATCAGTTAATGAGTCCTCTCAGGATTGACTCTGTGTTGGTGCAGGAAGCCACCCAACGGCTAGCAGCAACTTTATTTTATTTATTTATTTTTTTATTTTCTCCCTTCCCTGCTCCATGGGGCCCATCTTCTGCCAGGAGACCCCACACTGGCAGTAGGGTTAGGGTCTAGCTACCCAGAAAGCCAAGACATATGATTCCAAGTTCAAGGACAGCCTGTATAACTTATTGAGACCCTATCTCAGCATGTACACCCTTACCAACCCCTTCCACACAGACATCTGTCTCAGCTGTGTGGCCTCCAGTGAGAGAGACATGCCCTTTCTGAACACTGCATATTTGTGCCCATCCGAAGTAGTCCAGCCCCTGCCTGGGAGCAGCTCACAGCTGAGGGGGAAATATGAAGTATCTCCTAGAATCAGGAGATACTGGGCTTTCTGAGCTCTACCATTTTCTCAACACAAACCCATGGAGCCCATTGTGGCACCACACTCTATTCTGTGGGCCATTCCCTTGGTCCCAAGCAGCCCTTTGGGGTGGGGTCTTATTGTCCTTTTTGCCAGAGGAGGATGTCAGTGCTCAAAAGATGCCAGAACCCTTAGCCACACAGGGCTGCACCACTTGGCATCACCTACCATATCCCCAGGAGCTTTGATAGCACTTGGAATAACTGTAGAAGTAGATATGTTTTTTCTCTCTTTATGATACAGCTGTTAACTGATTGATTTTAATTTTTAAAGTCATTAAAGAGCCAGGTGTGGTGCTACACTGCTGTAATCCATCCCAACAACTTGTGAAACTCAGGCAGGAGACCAACCTCAGCAACTTATTGAGACTGTGTTTCAAAAATAAAGCCAGGTGCCATGGTATATGCCTGTAATCCCAGTGACTCAGTAGGCTGAAGCAGGAGAATCATGAGTTCAAAGCCAGCCCCCGCAATTTAGTGAGAACCTAAGCAACTTGGTGAGTCCTTGTCTCTAAATGAAATATAAAAAAGAGGCTGGGGTGTGGCTTAGTGGTTAAGAGCCCCTGGTAAATAATAATAATAAAATAGAAATGACTGGGGATGTAGCTCATAGGTAGAGCACCAAAAAAAAAAAAAAAAAAAAAAAGAAAAGAAAAGGAAAAATCACTCTTAAGGCTAGCTGTAGTGGCATACATCTGTAATCCTAGCTACCCAGAAAGCCAAGACACATGATTCCAAGTTCAAGGACAGCCTGTATAACTTACTGAGACCCTATCTCAAAATAAAATTTAAAAAAGACTGGGCATGTAACTGAATGGTAAAGTGTTTGGTTAGCATGTGCAAGGCCCTGGCATTAATACCCCACTACTGGGAGGGAAATCACTCTGAAGACTTTATAATTCTTTGTCAAACTTTTCCCAGAAAATGAGCAGCACCAAATAATCAGTGCAAATGGGTTTTTAGTTCAGTAAATAAAATTTAGTGACCCCATGCTGCAGAATACTTAGAGCTGCTGAGAATGGCCCTAGTCAGTCCTAGTGTGGCATGGGGTCACTAGTGATGTTTTACTGTCTAGTTGAAAATGCAAGTTACAAAATATCCATCTCATTGATTTTATTAAAAAATTCTTTGGGGGGCTGGAGTTGTGGCTCAGTGGTAGAGCACTTCCCTAACATGTGTGAGGCACTAAGTTTGATTCTCAGCACCACATAAAAAATAAATAAAATAAGGGCATTGTGTCCATCTATAACTAATTAAAATATTTTTTAAAAATTCTTTGGGGCTGGAGCTGTAGCTCAGTGGTAGAGCACCTGCCTCGCACATATGAAACACTGGGTTTGATCCTCAGCACCACATAAAAATGAATAAATAAATAAATAAATAAATTGTGTCCATGTATAACTAAAAAAAAAAATTTTTTTTTTCACAGACATGGTTCAGAGTTATGGAGGGAGGACTCCTAGCTATTGACAGTGATTTTCTGACAATGGAATTATGCAAGAGATTTGGTGCCCATTGCTTTTTTTTTTTTTTTTTTTTTTTTTTTTTAATTTTTATGAGCCAGGTGGGATGGCTAATCCTAGTGGCTTGGGAGCCTGAGGCAGGAGGATTGCAAGTTCAAAGCCAGCAATTTAGCAAGGCCCTAAGCAACTTAGTAAGACCCTATCTCAAAATAAAAAATAAAAATGGCTGGGGATGTGGTACTATTTACTTAGTACAAGGGTTTATTCCCTGGTACTGAGTAAATAAATAATAAAAAATAAAGTTTCTATCAGATGTGCCACTATTTTTTTTTAACAGTATTGGGGGTTGGGGATAGAAGCCAGAGGCACTTTATTCCTAATCTACACTCTTAATTCTTTTTTGAAATTTTGAGGTAGGGTCTTGCTAAATTGCCCAGGGTGGCCACGAACTTGTGTTCCTCTGGAATTACAGGCTTATATCCCCACACTCAGCAAGTAATCACCTTTGAAATGCAAAATTAAAAGGAAACTAGGTGCCATGGCCTATCCTGTAGTCCTAGCACTCAGAAGTCTGAGGCAGGAAGATCTCTTGAGCTCACAAGCTCAAGGCCAGCCTAGGCAGTAAGAGACATTTAAAAAATTGAAGTGTGAGGGTTGCCACCCTGTGGGGACATGGACTATCTGGCTGATCTTGGTGATACCATCCTTGTATCTACTATAGGGCCTTTACCACTGGCACCCCACCAGCCCCTCGATACCACCACTCAGCTGTTGTCTATGGGAGCAGCATGTTTGTTTTTGGTAAGTAGCCTTCTACTCCCTGCTGGGCCTACAGCTGCCCTGTCCTCCTGCCAGCCTTCTCCTAAGATGGGGTCTTCTCATATCCTAGATATCCTAGCAGATACTTTCTGTTCACTCCTCAGCTTTGTCCACTGAATTGCTTTGAACTCCTGTACTGGGCAGAGGACCCCTTTCCCTAACTGTCCTGAGCCCATGGGGTTGGGTCATCTGCCTCTGTGAGGGCTGGAGCAGGAAACAGTGTCCTGTTTATCTCTGTATCTCTAGAGCCCAATACCAAGGCAGGCAGATAGTTGGTGCCCCGGTAATTTATAGGTAGATTTCCAGTTGGTTCACTTCAAGTGGGGCCAGATTCTGTCCCAGCTCCTGGAGTTTGAAGATATGCCATGAGTGTGTTACTTTTGCTCTCTCTTTACCAGGGGGCTACACTGGAGACATTTATTCCAATTCTAACTTGAAGAATAAAAATGACCTCTTTGAATATAAGTTTGCAACTGGCCAGTGGACAGAGTGGAAAATTGAAGGACGGTGAGAGACTGTGGGACCAGGAGGGGCCTGGATGGCAGCAGGCCTGAACTTGACTTTCTCTTATGTTTCAGACAGGAAGCCCAAGGTTGAGAGAGGCCTGAGGGCATGAAGTAGTCAGATAGTCAGGAGTGGTCACTTACCCCAGGTATCCATATTCAGTTCTGGATGCCCTTCTTTTAGAAGAAACCTGATGTGTTGCTTTGTGAGTACCCCCTTTGGTATTTTGTGGAAGCTGAAAGATAATACTCTGCCTCTGTGAACATCTGAGTTTCATTTTTGTTTTTGAGGTGTTGAGTATTAAACCCAGAGTTTCATGCATCCTAGACAAGTGCTGTATCACTGAGCCATATCCCCAGCCTTATATCTAGTTTTTGTATCTAGCTATCATCCAGGCCTCACAAACCTACCTTCTGGTTCTGTTGCTCCTTCCCAGTGCCCCAGAAGTGGCCCTCAGAGCCCCATTGTCAGGAATATGTGACCTTAGCAGTCCAGCTGTGGTTTGTATCCCACTATGTGGGACTGTAAGCTCTGTCCTTTACTGGATGGCTTCCTTCTTCACTCCCTTTTCACTTTAGGTTGCCAGTTGCCAGGTCAGCTCATGGGGCCACGGTGTACAGTGACAAGCTGTGGATCTTCGCTGGCTATGATGGCAATGCCAGGTAGGCAGTGGCCTGGCCTGTGTACCCCATCTCTGAATGTACGTAGGTACACAGTGAGCTTTCCTGGAATTTGAGAGCTCAGTCTAGGAAAGGTCAGCCAGGTGGATTTTGAGTGCTACTCTGGGGGATTCCCAGGAGGGGGCATGGTTGGAGGAGAGGAATTTGGGTAAATGGAGGTGAGACTGCTGAGTGGGACCTGCCGCTAATCCTGTGGCCCCTTGATTAATCAGATGAGGTTATTTGGGTACCACAAGGAAGAGGGACCCTGAGGGGCTCAATACATGGGTGGGTGGGCAGTGTCAGGGCATAGACCCAGCCTTAGGTTCCTGCCTATATCACAGGCATTTTCCTTCTAAATTTAGTAAATTAGTTTTGCTATATTTTTCTGATTACAAAAGTAGTATGTGCTCATTCCAAACTTTAGCATTGTAAAAATTCCTAGTGATACAGTGGTAGTGGTGATTTTTGTGGTATCTACAGTCTTCTCCTTGCTGTGGGAGAGAATAGCTGATGAAGCTGTGGCCCTGTTCCACTGTGCCAGATGTTGTATATGAGGTTACTTGTTCCACTCTGGGTAGGGGACCTGGAATGGCAAGGATTTGGTGCAGTTCCTGCTCCCACACCCAGCTCCCATGTCAAAGCTTCACAGGTATCCCCTACTTACATGGCAGGTTGTTTTTCCCTGCATTCATTTGCCCTGGCCAGGGCCTGGTCTACCCTAACAGCCAGATCCAAAGGAATCTGATCCCACTGTTCTAATGCAGGTTGAATGACATGTGGACAATTGGCCTCCAGGATCGGGAACTCACGTGCTGGGAGGAGGTGAGGTGCCCAGAGAGCTGCTGGGATAAAGACAAGGGCTGCTGGGGGGTGCAAGAAGCCAAGGTAGGGTGGCAACAGAGGCTGCTTTCTTGCCTTTGGCAAAGCCCAGCTTCACTGTCCTTCATGACCTGGCAGGAACCTCAGGACCAATTCTAGCACCAATTGCACAGTGACTGAAGACTTTTAAGTCTTCGGGCTGAGGATGTGGCTTAGTGGTAGAGTGCTTGTGTAGCATGTGCAAGGCCTTGGATACAGTCCCCAGCACTGAAAAAGGCAGGGGGTATGACAGGATGGGTAGAGTACTGTGTGTTGTGATGATATATATGAGTCTGGTCTAATCTACACTTATTTGAACATAGTGAGGACAGCTTGCTCTCTGGTGTCCTAATTACTGGAGTTTCCCCTAGGACATTCCTTTCCTTGTAGAAATGTATGACTTTTAACCTCTAATGATTTTACCCTCATGGTTTTAACCCCAACTGGTCAAAACCATACTCATGTATGTGGATGAGATGGGTTATAAGCTGTTCAGCAAAAACTGGTCTAAGAACCCTCATTCACAAAGCTTCAAGAATGAAGGTCCCACCCTATAAGTACATAGATATGTGAGCTGAGGTCCTGTGAGAGCCTTGGACTGAGTTGCACCCCCATCCCAGGTGGCCCAGAGTGGTGAGATCCCACCATCTTGCTGCAACTTCCCTGTGGCTGTGTGCCGGGACAAGATGTTTGTATTCTCAGGACAGAGTGGAGCCAAGATAACTAACAACCTCTTCCAATTTGAATTCAAGGATAAGACGTAAGCACTCTGCTTGGGGAGGAGGCATAGTTAATGTCCTAGCCTGTTTCTGATAGCCATGGTAGCCCATCTTTCCAAGCTCTCACATATAGCAGGAATATATAGTCTGGAGCAGGGATGTGTGGCACACCTACCAGGCCCCTCAGGTATGGCTGCAGCTCAGCAAAATAGGGTCTGGACCAGGAACCCTGGCTGAGCCTCCCTCTGGAGGACAACTCCTGCCCTGTGAGTGGCTTGATCAGTCCTACCAATAACAAATGGGACTGGTACAGCTGTCCTGTGATGGCAGAAGATGGGAGGGGTGCCCAGGCCCTGAGAACTTCTGTCCTACACTGTCCTTGGCTGCCAGTTGACTTTTCCCCTGTGATGGGGCTGTGTCCTCTGTCACTGGGAGTGAATGGAAAAGAGGGAACATGGGCTTTGGAGGTGACTCAGGAATTGCCCTTTAGATTAGGGATAGGTAGGAGGAAGGGCTGGTATCCCTGGTGGAGAGAAACCTCTTTGGGTGATAGGCAGGGGTTGGCAGCATACAGCCACATGGATCTATTAGCCAGGATCTATTTTGGTTCTTCAACTTACTTAGCAAAATAGACAATTTGCTGGAGATACTGTAGGAGCAGCATTAGCATGTGGGATCCAGAGTGGGGACTTGGCAGTCTGCTCAGCAACCCACAACGGCACAACTCCATTCCCCAGAGAGCAAACTGCCCAGAGGTCAGTTTCCCATACCATCACTGCTTCCTGCTTCATGTCAGAGGAGCGGGGGCTTGTGCAGGATCCCATGAAGTTGGACAAGGCTGGTGGTGCCAGAGCTAAACAGGGCATGGAATTCTGGGGACCCATAACCAGGCCCTCCTTTGGGATCCTGAGATGGTCACCACAGGAGTTGCAGGGGGACTTCACAGGGGAACTTGTTGTGGGGAGGCTTTGGTAAGGAACAGAATTCCTACCCCAGCACTAGTTTACTGTTGTGTGCTCCAGGTGGACACGTATCCCCACTGAACACCTGCTCCGGGGCTCCCCGCCGCCCCCACAGCGGCGCTATGGACACACCATGGTGGCCTTTGACCGCCACCTGTATGTGTTTGGGGGTGCAGCTGACAACACTCTTCCCAACGAACTGCATTGCTACGATGTGGACTTCCAGACCTGGGAGGTTGTCCAGCCCAGCTCTGACAGTGAGGTGAGCACTACCAAGTATGGAGTAGGGGTTCCAGGGGGTCCTGACCCACTGGCTGGATGCCAATAGCTCTCACAGCCTCAGGGGGCTCTCAGGGTTCCAGAAAGTCAAGAGGAGCAAGGCCAGGACACCCTGGGCCCTCAGCCCTGAATGCCTGCCCCTCTGGCTCTAGCTCCTTCTGCAGTCTTCGGGTTTTTAATATTCCATGTTCCATCCTGTCTGCACTGTGCTGCTGTCCTACAAACATTATGGGGAAACCTGCTTTCATTGCTGCCTGGGCTCACCTTCACAGCCCTCATCCTGTTCTTTTTCCCTCCTTCTAAACCCACAGCATGCTCTGGCAGGGATGACAGCCTACCCAGCCCTTGCTGACTGGTCACATGCCCACTTTTCTCCCCACCAGGTTGGTGGGGCTGAGGTGCCGGAACGAGCTTCCACTTCCGAGGAAGCACCCACCCTGACCTCTGAGGAGCGGGGTAGCTTCAAGAAGTCCCGGGATGTGTTTGGCTTGGATTTTGGTACTACCTTACCTAAGCAGCCCAGCCAGCCAGCCTCAGAGGTAAGGGGCAGAGGCACTTGTTAAGGCTCCATCACTCCTTGAAGCAGATACTACGATGAACCTGTCACAGATAGGGAGAAGGAAGCTCTGAAAACTGTTCAGAGTCACTCAGCAAAGGAGGCACAGGGCCAGGAGCCCATGCCCTGTTGGCTGGACCAATGTCCCTGGGGGCTCCAGACTTTGCCCTCTGGGGTCTGTTCATCCTGAGGGTCTCATATCCCATTCTACCCCAGTCGTCTACATGGCCCTGGCTTCCACTGTTGTCTGCAGTTGCACTCAGGAAATTTTTAACCTCAGAGACTGGGCTGTTTGGCCTCCCCTTCACAGTCATATCCTTGCCCATGGCTTAGCCACCACCAACCCCAGTGCTGGAAACCATGCCCCATCCCTTCCCCTCTGCCCACTTGTCACCCTCCTTAGCTGCCCAGCGGGAGGCTCTTCCATGCAGCTGCTGTCATTTCTGATGCCATGTACATCTTTGGGGGCACCGTGGACAACAACATCCGGAGTGGGGAGATGTACAGGTTCCAGGTATGTGGCTCATGAACTTGTAGGGCCTACTGGGATGGACAAGCCCCAGTGATAGAACACTGAAGCCCAGTAGGTAGGGGCAGGGCTTGTCCAAGGGTGCCTGTTGATTACTGAGCCTGATGGGATGGAAGCCTCTTTAAGGCCAGTGATGGGGGGTGATGGCTCTAGGTTGAGGGAAGGCTGAGGTGACACTAGGAGTAGGTCACTGACCTTCAGTGCAGAATGGACAAGGCAGACCCCCAGCTTCAGAGCAGGGTAGGGAAATGTGAGGGAATAAGCATAGACGCAGCCTGGCTAGACTGAGCACTGGGACCTCCAGGACACCCATAGCTTAGAAGAGGGTAGACTCTGGATTGACACTACTTTCCATGGCAGCTTCTTCCCACTTGGAAGAACATGTGGTCCAAGCAGGAGTCCATGGGACAGTGGAAGACAGAGGTATACTGGTGGAGCCAGCATGAGTGCTTAGGTCCAGGCAGTGGAGATGCCACAACCCTGCCAAAGTCTGGGGAACTAGCTTAAGGCAAGGAATGGCAGTGAGAGTACCCTGCTGGTGTGGAACCAGTGGGCAGTTGTAGGCACTGAGGCCCAGAGCAAGGCATGCCTGTGGGTAGAGAGATAACTCCTCCCTTTCCTCAGCCAGGCCTGTCTGCCCTCTGTGGGATAGCATAGGCTGGACAGGAGCCTCAGGGTTGGCCTGCATGGCAGCACTGGGGTCTTCTTCTGCAGTTCTCCTGTTATCCTAAGTGCACGCTGCATGAAGACTATGGGCGGCTGTGGGAGAGCCGCCAGTTCTGTGATGTGGAGTTCGTGCTGGGTGAGGTGGGTGCCCTTCCTTAAGCCCAGCCCCATTTGCTGAGTGGGAACTTCTCTCTGAGGCCCAGCTGACCACATAGTGGTGACTTCCCTAGCCAGCTGGCCTTTGTCCCTTGGAATGAGGCTCCTATACCCTTCATATGTCATTCTTTATGTAGAAGGAAGAGTGTGTGCAAGGCCATGTGGCCATTGTCACGGCAAGGAGCCGCTGGCTCCGCAGGAAGATCATGCAGGCACGTGAGCGATTGGCTCAGGTAAGATTTCCCTCTACTGCTGAATTGGGTAGCTGTGTCCATTGTTCACTGGGGTTCCCTTGAGCTCTTTCTTTTCCCCTCAGAAGCTGGAGGAGGAGGCAGCCCCTGCTCCCAGGGAGGTTCCTAGTGGAACAAGGCTGCCCCTGCTGCGTGTGGCCATTCGAGAGGCTGAGGCCCGACCCTTTGAGGTGCTCATGCTGTTTCTGTACACCGACAAGATCAAGTACCCAAGGAAAGGTCTGCGTGGTGTGTGGGTGGTACAGTAACAGGGCAGGGGATGACAGCAGAGCTAGAAGGTGGGTGTGCTAGTCAGAGGGCCTTATAGACAGACCCTCTGAGGCTCAGAGGCTGTGGTCACTGTTGATTACGTGTGATCACAGCAGCCAGCATGGAACCCAGCTGACACTCAGCAGTCCTGACCCAAATTCATCTGTGAGGGAGCCCTGGGCTGTGTCCCTAGGCTTCCCTTCCTGGGATCCCTGAGGCTCAAGGACTTTTGGGTGCAGGCCATGTGGAGGATGTGCTGCTCATCATGGATGTGTACAAGTTGGCGCTAAGCTTCCAGTTGTGCCGCCTGGAACAGTTGTGTCGGCAATACATTGAGGCCTCTGTGGACCTGCAGAATGTACTGGTTGTGTGTGAGAGCGCTGCGAAACTGCAGCTGGGACAGCTCAAGGTGCGGGCAGGGGTTAGTGCTACTGCTGGGATCATCTGCCAGCCTGGGGCTCTGCTGGATGGGGTGGGGCATGCATGCTCAGGCTGGGTCCCAACTCTGCTCCCTGCAGCAAGCCCCTTGCCCAGCTTGGGGCCTTGGGCTGACCCCACTTGCCTGCCCGGGCCTGTCTGTCCCAGGAACACTGCCTGAACTTCGTGGTGAAGGAGTCCCACTTCAACCAGGTGATCATGATGAAGGAATTTGAGCGCCTCTCATCCCCACTGATAGTGGAGATTGTAAGGCGGAAGCAACAGCCACCCCCTCGCACCTCCTCAGACCAGCCCATGGACATTGGTAGGGAGCCCTTATTATCCTGCACTGTGGGGAGTGATGGATAGTGTTGGGTAGAACACTTAAGAGCCATGGAGGGCACTTGCTAAGCTCTTGGGACACAGGGTGGGTCTGTGGCCATGTGCTGCTGGGCACAGGGGCAGGGATGGACAGGGGAAAGCAGGCTCCCTCATAGAATCTCCCCAGTTCCCCCAGGGCTTTCCATAGCAGGCTATGCATCAGTGAGCCTGGATTCCCTAAGCCCATTTCTGGGTTGAACATGGGTACTTCTTTCTGCCTGGACCATCAGGTCTGATGGTTCAGGGTCAGTGATCAGCCACTGAACATTTGTTTTAGACACAGTGATGGTTGAGAACAGCCTCATATACTCCCAGTGCTTTCTTGTCTCCTCTCACTCTGAAAGAGATGTTACAGGCTCCTTCTTTCTCCCAATGTTCCTTGGAGCCCATGCTGACCCTTGCCACTGACCCTTGGTCATATCTGGAGACACCAGAGGTCAAGTGATAGGCCCAAAGGAGGACAGAGTAGGCCAAGTTGTGGAAAATCAGATGTTGGTAGTGGCAGGCCTTGGGACTATCTTTGGGAATGCAGAGGTCCAGCTAGCCTGGGGAACTGAGAGGGAAAAATAGAGACTGGAGGCTCATCTGGCCTTGGGAAGCTTTGTACAGGGCAGCAATGTGGGCTGACATGCAGAGAGGCAGTACTTGTGGGGTCCTGAGAGTAGAATATAAAATAGCCCCTTTGACCAGGGTCTGCTTGGGGTGTGGAGGGGCCACCTGCTCAGGGTCCCTCCACACCTACCTTCCAGGCACATCTCTGATCCAGGACATGAAAGCATACCTGGAGGGGGCAGGTGCAGAGTTCTGTGACATCACTCTACTGCTAGATGGGCATCCACGGCCAGCTCACAAGGCCATCCTGGCAGCCCGCTCTAGGTGGGTCAGAGACCTATACAAGAGGGCAGGGTAGAGCCCAAGTGTTGGCTTCCTTCTTCTGAGAGATGGGCATTTGCACCCTTCCCCCCACAGCTACTTTGAGGCCATGTTCCGGTCCTTCATGCCTGAGGATGGGCAGGTGAACATCTCCATTGGGGAGATGGTGCCCAGCAGGCAGGCCTTTGAGTCCATGCTGCGCTACATCTACTATGGAGAAGTCAACATGCCGCCTGAGGACTCCCTGTATCCTCATAACTCAAGACACTCTGTGGTCAGCACTGAGGGGTCATAGTACCTGCCCTTGGGCTACTTTGGGGTCCTATTGCCCTGTCTTGGCCAGATAGGGGTGGACCATCTCTGCATTCTAGAAGATTTCTCAGTGCCTGGTGCAAGGTGTCTAGAGCAGGTGGGCAGCTGGTAGGGAGGGTTCGTATCCTGGGAGAATGGTGTTGGCCATTGTTCTCTGAAACAGGCAAGTAGGCAGGTAGGAAGTGATTTCTCTTACTTCACTTCAGTGGTGTCAAAACCTTTTCCCCCATTCTTTGCAGTGCTGGGTGTCTAACCTAGGGCCTCATGTATGCCAGACAACTAACTGCTTGACCACTGAGCTACATTCCAGCTTCTTCAGTGGGGTTTGAACATGAGGTACTAGAATGCCTGTTGGCTAGTGAGGCTATGGAGAAGTTCTGCAGATGTGCATGAGAGAATAAGATTTGTGGTTTTCTTTGGATCTTGGATAAGACCTGTTTAGAGAATCAGCCAATATCTGCATCTGGATGAAGCTGTAGCCCCTGGTGTATGAGGCTCCTGAAGCACATTCCTAGGGGAGAATGGAGAGAGCAGCTGGGTGGGCATATGGGCTTCCCTTGGTCAGTGGCTCCTTAACCAGCTCCCAGCTACCTTTTTGCTGCCCCCTACTACTATGGCTTCTACAATAATCGGCTGCAGGCATACTGCAAGCAGAACCTGGAGATGAATGTGACTGTGCAGAATGTGCTGCAGGTATAGCCCACCTCTCCCTCTGAGGGTAGGGGAGGTGGGACAGTGCCTCAGAGTTATTGCCATTGCAGATCCTGGAGGCCGCTGACAAGACACAGGCATTGGACATGAAGCGGCACTGCCTCCATATCATTGTGCACCAGTTCACCAAGGTCAGGGCCTGTCTTGATCCACAGCTCATGAATTCAGCCCTCCTCATCAGTACTTCATGGAGGTGGGGGGTGCATCTGGGCTGGGCCAAGCAAACTATACCCATTGGCCACTTGTCTGGTCCTCAGAGTCAGCCCAAGCCCAGAGAAGGTTGGGCCCCAAAGAACTCAGCCACCCACCTTGGCCCTTTTAGGAATCTGGTTCTGTCTCATTTTGGCATTTTGGTCATCTGTACAGGTCTCCAAGTTACCCACACTGCGGTCACTGAGCCAGCAGTTGCTGCTGGACATCATAGACTCTCTGGCCTCACACATCTCTGACAAGCAGTGTGCAGAGCTGGGTGCTGACATTTGAGAGCACCATTGGTATCAAACCAGCATGGAAAATGATGCCAGATTGGTTGGCCCACTGCAAAGATTGCTCTGGCCATTCCTGTGTCTGCAGTGAGCTGTTCCTGTGGAGTCAAGGATCAGGGTGCTCAGAGCCTCCAAATGGAGCTCAGCAGGTGCAGGGGACCCCAAAAACCTCATTTCATTGATGTGGACAAAGGACCCACAGGGTTGGAATAGTGAAATAGATCCCCTTTTAAGCTGTTACCTTTTCCTGGGTGGGAGGCCATGATTGAAGTGACTGGGACACTACAGGAGACAGGGGACCTGGGCATCAACCAGTAATGGGGAGACTAGGTTAACTTCAGAGTTGGGCATGGGCTTTGGAACACTCAGCCTGGCCCCTGTGGTCTTATGGATTCAAGAGTAGTTTCCTGTTGTAAGGGCCCCTCTGACATGGTAAAGGGGCCTTGGCAGAATTACTGTGGCATAAGGGAGTTCCCCTGCACACTGCCCCACAACTCTCAAGAGAAGTCCATGTAAAGAGTACCTCTGCCCACCAGGACTTGGGAATACAGACCAGTGACAGGAGGTCTGCTCTTGACTCTGGAGACTAATTTTGGAGTAAAGAACCCGAGGTCAGTTCCCAGTGCAGCATAGTCATGCTGGGCTAGGAGTGGCTTCCAGAAGGACTGCAGATTCCCAACTCATCTCTGTGTAGGGGCAAAGCAGAAGTCAGCAGAGATGCCCCCAAGTATTTAATCTGTCATGGACATGCTTCCATTAAAGTCAAAGCAGTGCTACCTACACACACTGTTATTGTCTCCATCACTGACCTGCGGTTCTCAACCTCTATGCCCTCCCACAGTGCAGCACAGACTGTGCAGCAGCCTGATGGTTTGGTTGACCCCCAGACACAGGTTCAGCCAGCCTTGCCTTTCTATCTATATATGCCCTCCTACCACCTGGTGTCACCCAGTCAAGAGAGAGAAAAAGTATAGGAGGTGTCCAGGCTGGCCCCTCCCCAAGAGCCCTGCAGTAGGGTTTTTATAATCCTGCACATCTCTTTTGGGTCCCAGGGAAGGCTACCCTCTTGCCTGGGCAGGGAACTGAGGAAAGATAAGAAAATCATCCTATTATGCAAATAGAACCCGTATCAATCCATTCTGATGGAAAAGGCTCAGTTGTGCTTTTCCAGGAACCAGAATGCAGGACCTGCATTGTCCTATCAGGAAGCCAGAGTGTACCTTGGGAAACATCTGTTCTCTTTCTGACACATTTCCCTCCTCTGGTTGAGCTCCACCCAGACATGGTCCTGCCATGGGCCCCAAGTGGCTGCAAATAGGTGGAGGTAGGGTATCCTTGCAAGATAAGCAGGGAAGTGAAGGAGGTGTGGGGCAGAAGCTGAAGCAGGTGGCTAGCTGAGTGACAGTCCCTATGAAGGAGCAGCAGGCTCGAATTGAGAAGACAAGGGGCAGCCTGGGTTGGGCAGTAAGACATGCCAGGTATAAATGACTATGCCAGAGTCACCTGCCAAGTTTCCACCAGTTGTAGACTTATCATACCCCCAGGGCAGCCTTGCCAACCCTGTCTTAGACAGGCCTGGAAGCCTCACGAACAATAATCTGTAAACCCTCCTCTATGGAGACCCTTGTAACTGGACCCTTGAGTATCACTTCTAGGCGAGATATGAATAAATTAAATTAAAGCAAGTATGAGAACATTGTTATGACTAGAAAGTCAGGAGTGCTCCTTGTGCTACAAGGCCAAGGGGACTAACAGGGAGAGACCATGCTGGTATTAAGAATCAGCCTATGCATTTTGCTCTTTGCCACTTCACAAAGTGAAGACTTTCAAGTTCTCATTTGCTGAAGAAAAATGACACTGAGGCCAGGATCTGCATATCTACCTCCAGGATCTAATTTTTTTTCTTGCTAGGCCTCATTACTAGCCAAGCAGAGCAGCCACAAGTCAGTGATAGTCATCATCATTCCCTTTTTTTTCTGATGGAGACCAACCATATATTAAGCAGTGCAGGGGATAGCCTTCTGACCTGCCAGGCAGGTGAAAAGAAGCTTACTGTGCCTTAGTATATTATGAATGTTCTTAAAGGGGCTGGCTTGCTTCAATCAAGATTGTTTCAAGAACCAAGTTAAAGACTGCTTGGCACTGTGCAGTGGTCCATACAGATACTGTTCTGTCCTTCAGAGAACCCTATGGGGCAATGAGTTGTATAAACAGGAGTCTCTAATAACTGTTCACCTCTGAAACACTGAAAGGGATAGTTAGGGTCTAGAGTTGTGGCAGAGTGCTTGCCTAGCATGTATAAGAACTGGGTTCAATCCTGAGCACCACATAAACAAATTATTACCAGCTAGCGAGGCTGGTGACCTGAGCTGGGTTCACGAGATCTGGCTACACCAGCAACTTATGGTGAAAGAAGCATTCAACACACAGAAATACATTTTGCCTGCAGGACTCAGGGACAGCTCTCGACCTTAGGGGTCTGTTGGAAAGAGAGAACTTGCACCTAGATTCTTTATTTTAAAGGGGGGGGGCACACAGAAGGAAGTTCCATGGAATGTTCTTTCCAAATAGGGCAAGGGGCAGGTTTCAGAGGTTTGAGTCTAACTTCCTGATGTCTTGTGGTCAGCAGATTGACATCCTGGCTAGTCACAGGCATGGAGAGAGGAAAGTGCATTTGTGTGTTGCACAGCCCAAAGAGCATATAACACCAGGCCAGTCTTCCCATCCGCTAGAATGCTCATAGCTCACACAGTCCATGGCTTGCTTGCAACAATGAATAAATTAAAATAAACGCATTGTGTCCATCTGCAACTAAAAAGAAATCTTAAAAATTAGGAACCAGGATCTCAGCTCCCCACAGTCAATCATTTTGGGTCTCTCTGGGGACTGCCAACACTGTCTGGTGGGAACAAGGTTCGAACCCTGAAGTGAGCCAGATAGCAATACAGCCCTCTAGAATCTACTTATATATGGTATCTGGTGGATCACATAGGTCCAATTCTGATCCTGTGCTTGGTAGACAAATAAGGATGGAAGAAACTTCAGCCTTGATGGGTGGATCCTCCTTCAGATCATGCTGCTACTCATCTGCACAGCAAAGTTCTACACATGCTCCTTCAGAGTCTGGCAGATATCTGCCTGTGCCAGCTTCTGATGCAGGTTTGTCAGCTGCAGTGCTGCTTCTCTGCCTGCAAGCCTGGAGCTGGCACTGGACCTTCTACAGAATATTGCCCACCTGGCAACTGGTCATTTAGAACATAGGCTCTGATGGAGGTATGGCAAGAAAGTTGAAGGGGAGATAGGCTAAGGCTTGAGAGAGGGATGCTACTGTTCTGGTAAGGGCTGGGCATCTAGAGAGCCTGGAAAATCTGGGAAGAGGCTTTCAGATCCTGTGAAAGGCAAAGTGGCAGGTTCTGAGGCTTTCTTTTTACAGGAAAGCAGGTGACATCAGCAGGAGGAGGTAGAGAATGGAGCTGCGGACCCCTTCAAAGCAGCTGGAGAGAAGAGAAAAAGAGACCAACAGACCACATTTCACAGCACTGACCTAATACATGAACCCAATCAGAAAGTTAGTATAATAAAAACCACATCCGGGTAGATAACATAAAGCCCTCTTTCTGTCTTGAGATGGGAGTAAGTGAAGGGAATCTCTGACCCACAGAATATACTGTTTTGGATATATATATATACACACACACACACACACACACACACACACACACACAACACACACATATACATACACATTTAACCATTGAACAACATCCCCAGGCATTTTTAAAAAATTCTCTTAAGATACTTGGGGCTCACTTTATTCTCACCAACAATTCAAGAATATCCTATTTTACACTGAATGCATTTTTATTTTTTAATTTAGAGCCTTGTTAAATTGCTGAGAATAGCTTCGAACTTGGACTCCTCCTGCCTTAGCCTAATGAACTGCAGTGATTATAGGCAGGAACTACTGCACCCATCACATACCACTTCTTCCATTCTCAAATCAGGTAACTCTAGGGGCCGCTTAGAAAACTGGGCCCCTTGGTCTTGGTTATCCAGTGCAATTTGTAAAAAGACTCAAATATGGTGGGAACTGCCCCTTCCTTCTGCCTGTGATAGCCACTGTGGGGGAAAAGCAGCCCTAATGAGCTGAAGAACAAGTGCTGCCACTTGGGCCATCTCTCCCTGGCACCCAACACAGCTTCCCCAGTACTGGGGTTGTGGCAGGCTGGAAGGCACATAATAAACAAGTTTGAGAAAATGCCACGTTAGGCAGAATCCCACCAATCTCTTAAAGCTGAGATGGTAAAGCAGCTCCACCAACAGGGCTGGACAGACCAGCCAAAAAAAATTCTTTTTGTGGGCTTGCTGGGAGGCCTGGGTGAGGAACACTCCCTGGAACAGCTGTTTTTCTCTGGTGTTCCTGGCAAAGTGAAACTGGGAGTGCGCTTTACTGTACACAAAGGGGAAGGGAAAGCAGCACGTTTGGAACCATGGCTGCCTGTCCACCTGGCAAGCTGTCCTCACGGCAGCTGCACAGGGACTGCCTCTTCAAGACACAGCTGCCCCACTGTATACTATGCTGACACCCCACACCCTGCCCAATGCTGGCTGGCAAGGAAGCCCACCTGATTCCCACCAGCTCAAAGCAGTTCTCCTCGAAATGTTTGGAGCAGAAGTAGATGTACTCAGAGGCAGGGTCCCACAGGCCCTGGCCGCTGGGGTCCAGCCGCTGACAGTTGGCCAGCCACAGGCTACGCCTCGGATTGTCCTTCTTGGGAAGTCTGCAGAACCACAAACCCGTGAGAACCAGGCTGCCAGAGCCCCTGGGCTCATGCTGTTCAAGTTCCCCAGGGAGGAAGAGTAGGCCCTGCACATGCCGCCAGGAGATCTCCCTGTGACCCTGTCGAAGAAGTACCCCCGCTACCTCTGGCACAGACCAGGAAACTGAGCCCTTGCGAAGCAGGCAGCGCGCTCAGAGTCCGCTGGCTGGCAACAGAAAGCACCAAGTCGAAGCCTGGTAAGCGTCCCGTTTTTCTTCCAGGACCGGACTCAGGCGCCAATGACCCGCCCCCTTCGCCCGCCCACCCACAGGTTCAAGCCTCACACGGCCTGGAGGAAGGGGAGGGACGAAGGCGCCGTGGCGACTCCAGCGGAGGACAACAAAACGCATGCGCAAGCGAGAGGTCGCGCACTAACACGCACGCGCGCCGACCTGTGGAAAGAGATGCCGCGGTTGCGCGTCTCGCGCGTATCCCGTGTGCAGCAGCCGGCGGCCGAGCAGTGGCGCGGCATCTGGGGAAGAGGCGGGAGCTAGGTCGCTGGCGGCCGTCCGGACCCCGGAGTGGCTTCACGACCCCAGCTGCCACGCCCTCCAGGGAAAAGTGGCCCGTAGGGACCCCAGTAGCCCGATCTCGGCCCAAACCCGTTCCAGCCGGTTCTCTTTTGAGTCCCGTCAGCGGCACTCACGGTCCCGCCATTGCTGCGTCGCGGAATTCTCGCGAGTAGTGGCGCTCAGCGGAAGTTGGTACCATAGAGCCTCCGGCGCGAAGGGCGCTCGCGAGCGGGGAGGCGGTGCTGCAAGTTTCCCAGCGGGCTGGCGCCGGAAGCTGCGGGCCTTGTCCTGTGTCGCGCCTGCGTCGTCCGGTTAGGACCGTGGGATACTCGTCCCACTTCTGGTTTTTTTTTTTTTGTCCAAAGGTCAGCTCTTCGTTAACGCCCCACTCGTTTGAAGCGGCTCCCGGGTGCTGGTCCATGCGGCGTGTCTCGATGCCCCGGGATCCTCGCAAGCCCACCGTCACCCAAAGGAAGGACTCCCTAACTCAAGAAGTCGCGCGCGCACACAAACGGGTCCAGGACTCTTGCGAAGAAAAACAACCCACCGGAACCCTCTGCTCAAAACTTGACTCATCTTTCTGGGCGAGGGTTTGAGGGAGTGCTTACAGGCTGTGGCTCTTGAGTACACTTTGGGTAATTCTGGAGGTTCTGTTGTCTCCCACAGCGGCATGTGAGCAGTGAAGGAAGGGTAAGGACATATGTGGAAAAGGAAGTTAAGAACTGGGTTGACAAAGCCCTTGAACACACGCCTTAGGCGGAGTCCACTGCACCCCCGAATGATTACTGGGTGAAACCCTTCACGATGCTGGAGGAAACAGACATCAGTGTGTCTGCCAGCCAAGAATGCCACCAAGGACTAAAAAGAATGCTCAGACTGAAGACATTGATAATCCCCTTGGGAAGCCCTTCCGAACCTTTCTGGGAGAAATGCAATACTTAAGCATACAAACGTGCCTACCAATTCTCTAAAAGAAACAAATGGATATATTTTCTCCTGAGGAATCCACTGGCAAAGGCGGGCCTCTAGACAGGCAGTTTGATCAAAGTACAGCACACAGAACAAATAATGCCTCAATAAACAAATTTTAATAGGTAAATATATCCTGTAAATGTTACAGTGTGCGCGCCCAGGAGAGAGGGTGAAAGGTAGAGTTGCTGCCAGTCACACCCTCCCAGTCAGTATTCTTCCCCTTCTTCAGCCTCTGCTTCCACAGAATCCACGCCCACCTCTTCATAATCCTTCTCCAGCGCTGCCAGGTCCTCTCGGGCCTCTGAGAATTCCCCTTCCTCCATGCCTTCGCCCACATACCAGTGCACAAAGGCCCGCTTGGCATACATGAGGTCGAACTTATGGTCCAGGCGGGCCCAGGCCTCAGCAATGGCAGTGGTGTTGCTCAGCATGCACACAGCCCGCTGCACCTTGGCCAGGTCTCCTCCAGGCACCACTGTGGGGGGCTGGTAGTTAATACCCACCTGCCAGAGAAGAGGAACACCACAAAGTGAGACTGATGTAGGTGTCACATATATGATGGCTTATTGAAAACTGAAGCACAGGTCCCAGTTTAAACAATGCCCTGGCCTGGGATTGTATGTAGCTCAGTGGCCCTGGGTTCTAGCCTCAGCACCACATAAAAACAAATGAATACAATAAAGGTTAAATCTTAAAAACAATGCCCTGTAGCAACTGGTACTAGTGTTTTGGCATAAACTGTCAACATTTAACCATACTGCTTTTAGATTCACCCATAGGCAGCATAAAATAAGATGTTGCAGTTTTTTTTTTTAAACTTTTTTTTTTTTTTAATGTGGTGCTGAGGATTGAACCTAGTGCCAAAAATGTGCCAAGCAAGCACTGAATTGCTGAGCCGCAATCCCAGTCTGATGTTTTAGGGATTTTAAAAAATTTTTTAATGAAAGTATTTTATTTATTTATTTTTATATGGTGCTGAGGATTGAATGTGTGATAGGCAAGCGCTCTACTGCTGAACCCAAATACCAGCCCTATGTTTTAGGTTTTTAAGTACAGAGCTGAATCTTTGTTCTAATGGAAAAACTAGAAAGGATCGTCCATTTATAAGCAACCAGTTCAATTGTATTACATCTCTAAAGTAAAACATGAAAAGAATGAGGGCTGAGGTTAGAGCTCAATGGTAGAGCACTTGCCTAGCATGTTTGAAGCACTGGGTTTGATCCTTAGAACCCCATTAAAAAAAAAAAAAAGCCATTCTGTCCATCTCCCAACAATAAAAAACATTTATTAAAAATAAAATATTACTGGTTGGGGTTGTGGCTCAGGATTGAGCACTCACCTAGCACATGCAAGGCCCTAGGTTCGATCCTCAGCACCATGTAAAAATAAATAAAATAAAGGTATTGTGTTAACTACAACTAAAAAATAATTTAAAAAAATAATATTACGAGGCTGGGGTCATGGCTCAGCCTACCACGTGCAGAGCCCTGGGTTTGATCCACATATATATCAATAAAATAAAGGTATTGTGTCCAACTACAACTAAAAAATAAATATTTTTTAAAAAACAATATTACTTAAAAAACAAAAGAAAGCAATAAAAATGAATTGAGAACCCAGTTCAGGTATATCAATTGCCTAGGGTTTGATGGATAGTCATTAAAGAAAACAGTTGAATTCTATGTAGTTAAGTGTGTGTGGGGGGGGGGTGGGAGAAAGAAACAAACCTATGTGGTTAGCATTAAACTCAGAGTACAGCCTCAGAGGCTACTGGAACATGGGCTGAAACTGAAGCACATGAATACCTGGGAGTGTGTTGAGTCAGTGACCCTACACTACCCTGTGAACTGAAGTAGTCAGCAGGACCTCTATACAAAGCTAGGCTCCAGAGGCTTTAAAAGGGGTAGAGGGAAGGGCACAGGAGCTCAAACTCTGATGGAGTGGTTGCCCTCCCACAACTTTAAAGCCCAGCCAACTAGCCCTTCTAAGTGGCAGTGCTGCCAGACTCCTGTTCTGTTTGGCCACCTATATGCAGGAATTTGGGTCTGCCACCTACAGGAAAGGAACATGCATCCTTTGCCCATGTCTGTGACCTCTCTGTCAGCCAGCATCATCTGTATAACAAGAGGCATACCATACCTGAAATAGGCAAAGACATCTCTTAAAGGACAAAAAAGCTCTGGAGAAGGGGAAGAGGATTTCAGCTTTTCAGCCTTCCACCTTGTTTTAATATTTCACCACTGATTTTGTAGTATAAAAAGGCCAAATGATGGGGCTGGGGTTGTGGCTCAGCAGTAGAGCACTTGCCTAGCATGTGCAAGGTCCAGGGTTTGATCTTCAGCACCACATAAAAATAAATAAATAAAATAAAGGTACTGTATCCAACTACAACTAAAAACTAAATAGTAAAAATAAACAAACAAATATATATAATAAAATGGGTCAGGGCTGTGGCTCAGTGGTAGAGCATTTGCCTAGCATGCATGGGGCACTGGGTTTGATTCCTGGCACCACATACAATAAATAAATAAAAACAAAAGATGTTGAGTATTAAAAAAAAAGCCACATGGTTTTAATGGAAGAGACTCCTTGAAAATATGTATCCCTCAGCAAATGGTTGCAAAAGAATGGGTGCCAAGTCATACTCTGACAAAAAAGAACTTAGAGCAAGGAGAATTCAACAAGGCCCACCTGGTGCTAGATGGTCTTCTATAAGGGGACAGCAGAGGCTGTGACACTTTCCTACAGACTTGCCTCCTTGCTATCTCTTAGAACAACTCAGCTAGGACAGCAAACCTAGGCAAGCATCTTGTACATGCCCTGCCAACTGAGGCTGCTTTATATGTCCTCAACTCCCAAATGTCACACTTACTGGAAAAATATTCTTGCTGCTCAGTCCAAAGGCTTAAAAATTATAAACAGAATGGAAAGTTTCAACTACCTGTAACCTCTAACTAGCGTCTGCTAACCCGTGTATTACATTTGATGACTACTTCAAGGTCAGCAAAGACTGTAGTAAATTTTACCTGCTTTTATGAGTTACTTTAAACACATCAAATTAAAAATACCCTCTTACCAATAATCTGTGTGCAGATGTCTTTGTAAACTGGGGCTGAGAAGTTTCAAAACGCTTCCTATAGTAATAGGCAAGCCATGGCCATTCCACATCAGAAGAAGATGATTAACACACATTCCCAGTTTTCAGTCTGGAATGACCCTAGAACTTTACCTCCCCCAACACCTCAGGAACTCATCAGGGCTTACAAATGTGGGGCCCAGTTGGGCTTGGTGACGCACACCTGTAATCCCAGCAACTTGGGAGGTTGAGGCAGCAGGATTCAGAGATCAAAGTCAGCCTTAACAGTTCAACGAGTATCTAAGCAACTGTCTCAAAATAAAACACAAAAAGTGTTGGGGATGTGGCCCAGTGGTTAAGAGCCACTGTGTTCAATCACTGGTTCCTAAAAAAAAAAATTGGGGCACAAAGCTTTGTCTAAATGGAAAACTATTGTAAATAAGGACTGATATCCACAAACCAGAGGGTAAAGAGTTGAGGAACACAGGTATAGGGAAGCATTTAGTCTGATAATCCAACAGGTGTTACAGCCTGAGAGTCTAGGATGGCTTCCACATACATGGTGCTTTCCCCATAGTAGTCATTAAACATGGCTAAGGGAACCTTGAAAATTTCATTGTGATTTTGTGTATGAGACAGAGATCCCAGCCTGGTTTGGGGAGAGAAGAGCAACCTACCCTTTTTCCCATACTTAAATGCTTAGGGCTGGGGATGTGGCTCAGTAGTAGAGCGCTTGCCTCATAGGCATAGAGCACTAGGGTTGATCCTCAGCACCACTAAATAAATAAATTAGGAATTGTGCCCATCTACAACTAAAATTTTTAAAATAAAAAAACATTGAGATACACGTTTAACAATCCATTCACAAAAACATAAGTAATGCCTAAAATTCAGAGATAACAGGTGACCAACATCAAGTAAAGTAAAAACCTACCATTTGGACCAACCAAAATGGAATCATAGGCCCTGACAAATGTCTAAAGCCAGCAGTGAGGTGAGGGAAATCAGATCAGGATCTGCTGTCAGACCATTTCTAAATTCTCCTTCCCAACACTTGCAGGCCCCTGAGGCTTTGGACACTTAAAGGTGTCTCAGCCTCAGTCTTCTAAACTATTAAGAAACTGGTAACACCAACCTCACCATCAACTTTAAAGCATGGTTTTAAGAAAGGAGTGCATAGAATGATGCAGTATTTGATGAAGTATGAGGCTATTAGCTAATCAATTACTAAACCCACTATCCTTGCAGTCTCGTTAACATGAAAAGAGGCAATCTCCCTGAAGGAGGTGTGCCTTCAGAGTCAGCACCATGCTGCTCCCTGACTAGCATGGTGACTAAAAAGTACCAATCCTACCTTAAACCCTGTTGGGCACCAATCCACAAACTGGATAGTGCGCTTGGTCTTGATGGTGGCGATGGCTGCATTGACATCTTTTGGGACCACGTCCCCCCTGTACAACATGCAGCAGGCCATGTACTTGCCATGGCGAGGGTCACATTTCACCATCTGGTTGGCCGGCTCAAAGCAGGCATTGGTGATCTC